CTGCCCCAGCCGGGGACAGATCGCAGCAGCCGAGACCTAAAAACCGACTCCGATCCCCAAACGATCCTGTCACCTGATTCCTCAAATGCATCCATGCTCTTGAAACGATCTGCCCCCTCGCACCGTCCGCCAACAGAGGAAGGAGGGGAGCCAAGGCTAAGAGAAAACCGGAGGCAAAGAGAAAACCGTAAAAGGACCCGCTAAGAGCAAAGCGTGAAATTTCCGGCTTCCGTGGTTCTTCCGTGAACGTGGGTGGTGCACTAGCAAGCGAGGGAGGCGACAAGGAGCGGCAGACGCGTCCCGTAGTCAGGAGAGGACCCGCCGACAGCAAACGCGGTCGCGCCGACGCCTACGGTTTGGGGTCAGCAGACACATCAGGATAACTTCTGTAAACACACAAGAGAAAAGGGAGGGAAAGGCTAACACAACAGAGGAGCCACGGCAGAACGTCGCCAGGAAGCCGGGGTCTGCCGATCGAAGACCGAACGGGAAGTGCGGCGCCGGACACCGAACCGCGTCGGCCGCGCTCGGGGCAGCCTGGGTGCAGCGGGCGGAAGGAAGAGCGATGAACGCGAAGAAGCGCGGGTGGAAAACGTCCAAACAAAAGCAGAAAGCGAAAGGCGTGTGAGAGGGCGGCGGGCACAGCGGGGGGAGTAGGGAGAAGTCGACAGGCCCCACGCGCGCGGAACCGAGCCCAACAAGGAGCCGCTGCGGCCTGAGGGGGCCCCGTGTCACCCACCTTCAGGGCAACCTGGATGGGCTCGGGCCAAACCGCTGGAAACTGAAGACAAAAATCTTCAACGTAGCCAGAAAACGCGGCTCCTCCGGTACAGGAAGAGCTCCCGGGGACCCTGGGTCGGGTCCGCATCCCCAGAAGCAGAACTCGGGCAAGAAGAGCCACGTGGCGCCCCTTCCCCAGGAAGGGCGGGGCGCCCGGGGTGGCTCTCAGATGGGGGAGCAGCTGGAGCCTCCTGCGCAGGGTGGGACGCGGGGGAGGGGGCCGTCCCCTGTCGGTCCGCACCGGGGCGTGGGCGTGCGGCCAGGGCGCCGAGGCCGGTGGGCGGGGTGCGCCCTGGGTGCCCCGGCAGCTGCGCTGCGGGCTGTACGTCCTTTTGAGGGTTGGGAAGGAGCACGGAGACGTGGCGGCAGCGGGGGCGGTTTGCGGGGGTATGCGAGGGGTCGGGGCAGCACCCCAGCTTGCACCGCCCACCAGGACCGATTCCGGGCGGCGCTCAGCCGGAAACGGGAGAGGCAGAGGAGCCGCAGCCGCCTGAGCAAGGAGGACGGTGTCGGGGCCTTGGAGCAAAGAAACAAAATGGGGGCCGCTGTCCCACGAGGAAACTTACACAGCGGGGCGGCGGGAAGGAGCGGCATGGATGGGTCAGACAGGGACGTTGGGGGCGGCGCGTGGACCTTCCCTCGGTCATCACGGCCCTCGGGTCAGGACGGCAGCCCCTCGGTCCCCGCGACCCCCAACCTCGACCCCCAACTCGCTCACGGGACACTCCTGTGCTCGCTGCCCCTCCTTTGTGTCTGGCTGGCGCTGGGTCACGTCTCTGGCCGGGTCTCTCTGGCCTCAGAGAACACACACGCAGCGGCTCCGCCCCCTCCCGGCCCAGGGCTCCCCGGACCTCGCCGGTCACTCCTCTGTGACGGACGTGCCGGGGTCTTAGGTTCTATAACTTGGCTTTGACTTCGTCCCTAACCCAGTGCCTCTGAAACCTTGGGACTTCCCGGGAGGTAGGCGTGTCTTCTGTCCTGAAGAGGTGGCGCTGGGCTCCCGGCTGCCGGCCCGCCTGGGAGGCCAGGCCGCGGTCAGGGGCAGGGGCGTGCAGCCCGGGGAGGGGAGAGGGGCCGGACGCAGAGGCATCGTGGTGGCTCGCCACGCACCTGCGCGACGCAGCCTCCGCGAACTCCCACAGGCAGGGCGGGTGGGGTCAGAGCGCTCCCGGGGGCTGAGCGCGTGGAGAGGCGGCACTGGCCCCTTCCCTCACCCCCTGCCCCACCAGCCCCTCCCACCTGCTGTCCGCCCCGGCAGCTCGCTGGGCCTTTCATGATAAACCGGGAATCGTGAGGAGCCGGTTGGCCTGACCTCTGAGCCGCTGAGGCTAATCAGCCAAACCGACGAGGGGTTGGGGGCTCCACGCGGCAGCCGGCGGGTCAGACCGGCGCCTGGAGCGGGGTGTCTGGGGCCGCGCCGCCGACGGTGGGTCTGACGCTCTCTCTGGGTCGGCGGGTCAGACCTGAGCGGACCGCGGACGCCGGCTGGAGTGGTGTCGGAGGGCCGTGAGCGCCAGGCGGGCGCGGGAGGGGGCGCAGGTCTCCTGAGCCGGTGGCTCTAGCAGAAGACCCCCCGCCCCAGGTCTGGAGGCTGGGGGTCCGGGTCGGGGTGCTGGGCCCTGGGTGCCCGGTGGGGGCTCTCCTTGGCTCGCTGACGGCCGCCGCCCGGCTGCGTCCTCACCTGGGTGGGGGGACAGGGAGCCCTTCCCTGCCCCTTCTCACCAGCACCCCACTGCCCCGCTCTCGCCGGATGCCAGCCGCCCACCGCCCCTGTGGCCCTGGCGCGGGAGCCCTGCTGGGCGCCCCTGCGGGAGGGGCCCTCTCCCTCCTGACCCGCCGGGTAGGTGATGCCGCCGGGTCGCGGGGTGGGGGGGACCCGCTGGGCTCGGCCCCCGGAAGCTGCCCTGTTTCCGTTCTAACCAGGATCGTCATTCTGGGGGAGGGTCTCGGGACGCGTGAACCCGCCACTCACCAAGCTTCCCGTCGACCGCTGTCAACCCCGTTCAGATGCGTGGTTTCCTGTTTTATTCGGCCGAGTCTGACCTTTAGTGGCACTTACTGCCCCGCCCCCTCGCCGCCCCCTCAGCATGTCCTCGCTCCCCCGCAAGCGGTGGCTCCCCCGCCATCCCTGCGGTCCGGCTGCGGACGCCTGGGACCCGCCGCCCCGGGGCCGCGGGGGACCCGCTCCTGGGAACGGCACCGAGGGGCAGCCCCCGGCCAGGGAGCGCTTGCTGCCGCGGGGCCTCGGCAGCGGGCAGACCCTCGTGGCAGGGCCTGGCGGGGACGGAAGGACCCCTGCGGTCGGTCCAGGGAGCGGTCCCCGCCCGCCACGTCCTTCCCACCACCGTTCTCCCGCGGTCGCTCGCTTCGCCAGCTTGCCCAGGGTCACCCCGCCGGGCCCAGTGTGGACCCAGGCAGAAGTCAGGAGGGAACAGGGCGGGCCTGTCCAGGGCGCGCGGACCCCGGCTCCTCGCCCTGTGGGTGACGGCCCTCCCCGGAGCCTGACGCAGCGGAAGCCACGCTGGGGTCTGGCCGTGTGCTGCCCGCCCCCCACTGCCGGGACGAGGACAGCTGTCGGCTCGGGGGGTGCGGTGCTGCTGGCTGCCGGGCGGATGTGCCACCTCCCCGCCGGGAGCCGGGGAGCCCGGTGGCCTCAGCGGGCGGCACGGCTCTGGGAGGAGCCGCGGGGCCGTCCCTCCAGCGCACGGTCTCCTGGTCCCTGCCCGGCGGGCGGTCGGTCGCCGGCGGCTGGCCTCACAGGTGCCGGGACAGCAGGAACACCTGCCCTCACTGGTTTCCTGCCTCCTCCAGGCACGAACACGCTCGGGGGGCGGGGGGCCGGGCCGCCCTCGTGACCCCGTCCGTGTCCCCGGCGCCCACGCCCGGCAGCCCGTCCCTGTCACGCCCCGGCCCTGACTCCGCCGGGGCTCCCGCCGCTCCGGACGGCACCTTGTCCAAAGTGGGGAGCACACAGGCCTGGGCCCCGGGCCCCGTCCCGCCGCCGGGGCACAAAGGCCTCCTTCTCCACACCTGAGCCGCACGGACTGCCCCGGATCCCCCGCGTGGCCACAGCCACCTCCCCGCCAGGGCCCCGCGGGCACACGGGTCCCGCCGCCTGCGCCCCCGGCTCCTCCCGGGCCAACCCGACCCCGGGCTGCACCTCCCTCGTGTCCCAGGAGCCCCGCACGTCTCCCATGGCCACACATGTCGCCAGAGACAGCGACCCCGCTGGGCGCTGAGCAGAGCTCGCCTCTGCGGGGCATCTTCGCCCAGATACGCAGCCGTGGGATCCAGGCCGGCGGCCTTCAACGGGCACCTCGCCCTTGGCCGGCAGCCTTCACAGCCACCTGAGCCCTGGGAGGTCTGCGCCTACTGCACGGGGCGGAGCCAGGCAGGGGGGTGCCGCCAGGTCCCGGGCGCCCAGCCGCTGAGGCCGGACAGGGGCCACCTGCTCTTCGCTCGCCTCTCAGCCCCGCGCGCCGGCGGCTGCGCTCCCGCTGGGCCCGCCCCTCCCTGCTCTCCAGGGCCCCCACCCCTCCCGGGGCACCTCTGCACAAGGGCCCGGTCCCGCAGAGCAGACAGACCTCCTGGGTCGGGGAGCGGACCTTCCCTGGCAGGGCCCCAGGTCACCGGGCACGTCCGCATGGTGCCCCGAAGCCTCCTGATGCCCCCCGACGCCCCCGCCCCCCGCAGCCGCGCCTGCCCAGGCAGGGGACAGAAGGCTGGGCCTGCTGAGGCGGGGCAGGAGTTTTATTGAAAATTCACAGGTACAGGAGCTCCGAGCAGGGGCACAGCTTGGAGGGACTGGGTCGGGGAGGAGAGAGGGAATCCCCAGATGCCGGCAGCCCCCCCATGCTGGGGAGCTCCCACAGAAGCCCTTCTTGCTGGGTGCCAGGTTGGAGGGGCCCAGGAGCCTGGGTGGGGGCCCACAGGAGGGGGTGCAGCCGCCGGCAGCCTGGGCTAGGCAGCCCAGGAAGACACCAGGACCCAGAGGCAGGCGGAGGACCGGGAGGCGGGGCGGGGCCGTGCGGCGCTCACGGCCCCTCGCTGTGCGGGGAGCCTCTGCGGGCCTTGTGCCCGGTTCCGCTTCAGGGGCCCCAGGGCGGTGCCCGGCTCCGCCCCAGCCAGGGCACCCCACGCCGCCGCGTCAGTCAGGGCGGCGAACCCTCCCGGGGCCTCCGTGCGTGCGGCGGCGGCGGTGGCGGCGGCCGCCCGGGGCCTCAGTAGTCGGTGAGCGGGTACCGCAGGAAGATGAAGACCAGGATGATGCAGGAGGCGGCCAGCGCGGAGCTGGTGATGTTGAACAGCCGGGCTGTCTTGGCGTCCTCCACCGCGCCATTCAGGTCGTTGAGAAGCTTCTTGTCCCGAACCTGCAGCCGCAGAGGAGAGGAGAGCAGAGCGGAGGGGTGGACGCGGGGCCGGCGGCCGCTCCCGCTTCCTGAGGACGGCCCGGCGGCTCCCCAGGACAGGGTCCTTGCCGTGGACGGCACCCCGACGTGCCGGGGCGAGGGCGCCGCGGCCCCGGCTTACCCTCCCACGGACTATAAAATAAGTCATACGCCTTTATAGAGGGAGAAAAATAAAAAGCAACTAGGGTAAAATGTTAACACGGCGGCGTGGGGGTGGGGAAGGCACACAGGAATTCTTTGTATCTTTGCAGCCTGAAATTATTTAAAATAAAACACCCGGTTCATAGTACTGTTACATGCTTGAAAGTTGCTGAAAGAGTGGATTTCACGTGTTCTCGTAATTACGCGAGGTCGTGGTGGCAGTGACTAAGCTTATTACGGAAGCCGTTCTGCCACATTGTGCACCTTAAACTTACGCAATGTTACACGCCAATCATATCTCAATAAAGCTGGAAACTGACTAAAGAAAGCGGAAGCTGGTCTGAGAGGGGGTCGGCGACTGGGCGGTGGGGCAACGCACGTGTGTCCTGCACCGACTGGCCCGGCTGAAGGGAAAGTAACCGGGACTCCCCGAGAAGGCACACGGCGCACAGACGGGGCGAGCGGCGGCCCCCGGGGGCTCTGGGCAGGGATACGGGGGGCGGGGAGGGGCCTGGGGCGCCGGGTGTCCCGGGAGGACCCTCTCCTTCCTCGGGTCGAGCCGCAGGCGGGGAGCAAAGCCGCAGAGGCCGCAGGGAGGAAGCAGGAGGGAGACGCGAGGAGGCGGCGGGCAGAGGCCGTTTCCGCGGTAGCAGGTGGGTGGACGGGCGGGCGAGCGGACAGAGGTGGGGGTGGGCTGGAGGGAGGCGGGCGGGTGGGTGGAGGGTGGGGGTGGGCTGGAGGGAGGCGGGCGGGTGGGTGGAGGGTGGGGGTGGGCTGGAGGGAGGCGGGCCGGTGGGTGGAGGGTGGACTCGGGGCCGTCCGGGCCGGCGAGGCAGGCAGATGGGCGGTCAGAAGAGGGAGGAGGCGGGGAGGCGGACGGCGGGCTAGATGGGGGGACAGTGCGGGGGGGGACGCAGGTGGGAGGGGCGTGGGTTTCTGTGGGTGCAGGGACGGCCGGGAGGGGTCTGGGCTCCTGGAGGGTTTATTCCGGGGATTTGGGAGAGAACGGACCTCTCCACTGGACTCCATCTTCCTCTGAGGACATGCTCATCACCCACTTATTTAGGCCTTATTTGGTTAAAATTTTATAATTCAAAGAAGGTTCATCATTGTCTCCAGAAAGAGCTACTGTGTCTCCTGTTAGGTCTTAGTCTGTTTGCGTGGGTTGTTATATTGTCATTACATCTAAAATTACATTTCCAACTGAAACTGCCTGTTGTAGATTGATTCTGTATCCAGCTAAATGACTGTATTAATTAATTGTGATAATTAACCCAGTTTCCTATGTGATAAGTCATACTTAATATAAATAAGAGTCCTCGCCCCGGCTGCTGTGGCTCCGTGGACCGGGCGCCAGCCTGCGCACCGAAGGGTCGCCGGTTCGACCCCCGTCGGGGCACGTGCCTGGGTTGCGCCCAGGTCGCCAGTGGCGGGCGCGTGACAGGCAACCACACAGGGATGTTTCTCTCCCGCTCTCTCTCTGTCCCATCCCCTCTCTCTAAAAATAAATAAATGAACGCTTTCAAACAAAGGAATGGGGGAAAAGGGTGAAGGCGTAGCCATGGCGCTGTGTGAGCGGCCTTATCTGGCCTTAGCTCAGCAAACCCCTCACCAACACTGCGAGTTCGGTCCGCGCCCGCAGCCTCCCGGAGGGAAAGCCAGGCACAGGTAGAGGTAGTTACTAACGTGACGCCCCTGGACTCAAAGCCACGTTGCAGACTAGAGCCCCCATGAACAGCGGGGTGTATGGCTGCGTGGTCCCTTCAGAAAGTAGGAGAGGTGGGTAGGAGGAGGGAGAAAAGACAGAAAAATGGATGGATGGAGAGTCAGTAGGTAGTTGGATGAATGAATCATTGGAGCAGAAATAACTGGAAGAAAGGGAAAAGGGGAAGGAGGGAGAGATGTAGACAACGACCCGTGAACGTGAGGTCACGCAACCGAGACACGGAGTCACAGCAACTCTACCGGATACGTAGAAACAAACCCAGGGCGGCTGCCGAAACGAGAAGACAAAGAAACACGGCCCAAAGGAAAGGACCGATCAAAACTCCAGAAAAAGAGCTAAACAAAGTGGAGATAAGCAATCTGTCAGATGCAGAGCTCACAACAGCGGTCACAAAGACGCTCAAGGAGCTCAGGGAGGCCCTCAGCAGCATGAAAAAGACCCAGTCAGAAACAAAGCATTCACTCGTTGAAATAAAGAACAATTTACAGGGAAGCAATGGTGGAGTGGATGAAGCTGAGAGTCAAATCGATGATTTGGAACAGAAGAAAGCAGAAAACGACAAATCAGAACAAGAAGGAGAAAACAGAATCCAGAAAAATGAGAAGAGTGAAAGCAGCCGCAAGAGGTCCCACACTGGCATCACAGAGGAGCCAGAGGGAGAAGGGAAAGCACAGAAATTGGGGCTCTACTTGAAAAAACAGTGAAGGAAAACTTCCCTAATTTGGTGAAGGAAATAGACATGCAAGTCCAGGAAGCACAGAGAGTCCCAAACAAGATGGACCAAAGAGGCAACTCCAAGGCTCATCATAATTAAAATGCCAAAGGTTAAAGATAAAGAGATGTCACTTCCAGCCCAGATGGAGGCGGAGGTAGATACACGTTGCCGCCTCACACAACCAAAAGAAGGAAAACAACAATTTAAAAACAAAAAGTAACCATAACTGCCAGAAAATTGAACTGTATGGAAGTCCGACAACCAAGGAGTTAAAGAAGAAACATTCATCCAGACCCGTAGGAGGGGCGGAGACGGGCAGCCGGGACGGGGGTGTCGCACGACTTGGCGGCCCCGCCCTGGTCAGCACCTAAGGCTCCACCACTTCAACGTCACAGGCGCGCGGAGACAGAGAACTAGGGCCCCAATGAAAGAGCAGATCAAAGTTCCAAAAACAGAACTAAGCCACGAAGAGACGGCCAACCTATCAGATGCAGGGGTCGAAACACTGGTGATCAGGATGCTCACAGAAATGGCCGAGTGTGGTCGCAAAATGGTGAGAGAAGTGAAAACTATGCAGAGTGAATTAAAGAAAAACATACAGGGAACCAACAGTAAAAAGAAAGAAACCGGACTCAAATCAGTGATTGGGAGCAGAAGGAAGAGAAAAACATTCAGAACTGAATGAAGAAACAAGAATTCAAAAAGAAGAGAAGAGGATAGGAACCTCCTGGAGAACTTTAAACGTCCTAACATCCAAAGCACAGGGGAGCCAGAAGGAGAAGAGGAAGTGCAAGAAATTGAAAACTTATTTAAACAAATAATGGAGAACTTCCCCAATCTGGCCAAGGAAATAGACTTTCAGGAAGTCCAGGAAAGCCCAGAGAGTCCCAAAGAAGTCGGACCCAAGGAAGCACACGCCAGGGCACATCAGAGTTACATTCCCCAAGATTAAAGATAAGGAGAGAATTTCAAAAGCAGCCAGAAGAAAGGAGAGAGTTACCTACAAAGGGGTTCCCATAAGACTATCAGCTGATTTCTCAAAAGAAACCTTGCAGGCAAGAAGGGGCTGGCAAGAAGGATTCAAAGTCATGGAAGGCAAGAACCTCCATCCAAGATCACTCTGTCCAGCAAAGCTCTCATTTAGAATGGAAGGGCAGATAAAGTGCTTCCCAGAGAAGGTCGAGTTAAAGGAGTTCATCACCACCAAGCCCTTATTACATGAAATGTTAAAGGGACTTAGCTAAGAAAAGAAGACGATCAAAAACTAGGAACAGTAAAGTGACAACAAACTCACAACTATCAACAACGGAACATAAAAAAAAAGCATAAACAATCACAAACTAAACAAACACCTAGAACAGGAACAGAATCCCAGAAACGGAGATCCCATGGAGGGCTGTCGGCGGGGAGGGGGCGGGGGGAGACCAGGGGAAAGGCACAGGGAATCAGCAGCATGAATAGTAGGTACAAAATAGAAAAGGGGAGGGCAAGGGTCACTATAGGAAACGGAGAGGCCAAAGAGCTCACCTGCCCGACTCACGGACAGGAACTGGGCGGGGACGCAGGTGGGAGGGGCGTGCGGGGTGGAGGGGAACAAAGGGGAGAAAGACCGGGACAGCTGGAATAGCAGCATCACCAAAATATAAGAGAAAAAAGACAGAGGTGGGAGGCGGTGTGGGGGGTGGGTGAGCGCGGAGGGGTCAGGAAGCACAAACAGGTGGTTACAGGGTGGCCGTGCGGATGTAAAGTGTGGCGCAAGACACGGAGCGGCCGGAGCTCACACCCAGCACCCACGGGCGTGAACACGGCGGGGGACCGTCTGAGGGAGCGGGGGCGCTGGGCGGCGGGGCTCGGGGGCAGGCGGGACCGCTGTGACGGCGTGGCCCATCAAACAGAATCAACAAACGGCCGCGGCCAGGGCAGGGGACGGGCAGGCGCGCGGGCCGCGTGCTGGGCTTGGACGGCAGACCCAGGCCGTGACCGACGGGGTCGCGGGATGGACGGCCGAGCGCGGGCGGGGCAAACGGGACGTGGGCGCCGAGCTCGACAGAGGCGACGGCTGTGACGAGGCCACGGGGGGAACGCGCGGGCAGGTAGGTGGACGGCCAAACGGCACCCATGGGCGTAGCGAGCGGAGAGGGATGGACGCGGGGGTGGACGCACAGGTGCACGAGTGGACGCAGCACGTGCCGTGGGAGGAGAAAAGGAAAAGAAACGAGGGAGCGGATACAAGTGCAGGTGAACGGGTGCAGAGCAGTCAGGTACACGGGTGGACGAGAAGGCGGGGAGAGCAGAAAAAACGAGAGCGGCTATTTCCCGTGGACGGGCGGTGGGAGTCGAGGGGTCAGTCGGCGCCGGCGAGTGCAGAGGCGCGTGAAAGGGGCGCGCGCGGGGTGGGTCAATGAGGTTCCCCAGCAGGGGCGGTGGGGAGAGGGGAGGGGAGGCGCTGGGAGGACGGGCGGGTCCCCCATGTTGGATGGAGGGCGGGAGGATCGCGACCGGTAGAGTTGGCAAGGAAACGGGGCACTGGGGGGGCAAGCGACTGAGAGGGTGAGGGACGGGCAATGCGAAGCGAACTGACAGGTAAGATGGGCGGGGCGGGGGGGGAGGTGGGCGGATGATGGGGGGACGGGAGGACGGGGAGAGGGACGGCTGGACGGCCGGGCGGGCGGGTGTGGATGCTGGGCGGCGGTGGAAGGGCGGCTGGAAGGCGCCGTCGGCGTCCTGAAAGGGGCGACAGGCCCACATGCCCACACAGACACGGGCCCCGTGCCCTCCCTCCTGACGTGTCACCCGGGGGTCGCACCGCGTCCTGGGCCCACGCCGAGCTGCGGCCTCCCTCGTCCTTGCCTCTGCCCGTCCCCTCCTGTCACCAGCCCTGCTCCAGGTCCGGCCACACGCGCTCGAGCCTGGACTGCTGCCCCAGCCTGAGCTCCTCTCTGCCCGGCCCTCCTGCCCCGCCCTCCCCTCCCGCGCCCTGGCAGACCTGCCCCTCCCCTGCCCCGCCCGCCCGTGCGTCCGGAGGGTGGAGTGCCAGCCCTCGCGGGGATCCCGCCTCCCCGCCTGGCTCCAGGCTGCCTTTCCAGGGCTGCCTTCCTCTCTCCCCCACCCTCTCCATTGCCTGTCCCTCATGCCTCAGTTTCTGCTGTCCACCTGGAACCCCTGTCCCCTCACCCGCCCTCTGAGCCCCAGTGCACGTGCCGCCTGGCCCGGCAGTGGCTGCACCGGAACCCAGCCTCGCCCCCCGGCGTTCCTCCCCGGAAACTCTGGGCTGCTCGCCCCATCTCGCCGCCTGTCCTCTGTCCGTCCACCGCCCGCTCTTGGACCTGTGTGTCCAGCAGCCCTGCCTGGGCACGGACGGCCGCAAGGCGGAGGGATGGGCCTGGCGGGCGGGCAACTGTGTGCGGCGGGGGCGGGGGCGGGGGCTCAGCCAGAGGAGCCAGTGGGGCCTTTGCAGAAGAGAGGCCGGGCCTCCTCTTGGGCCGGCGCGGGGACCGCACGGGGCACAGAGGTGCGTTCATGGAACGGCTGGGGCGGGGCCTGTGGGGAGACCGGCGCGGGGTCGGCGTGGGTCTCGGGGGCCTGAATGCTGAGATAAGGGGGCTGGCCTCCCTCCAGTATCAACGGGGTAGAGGGTCGTTGCGAGGGCCCGTGAAGGCCGCGTGAGCGGGGGGCTGATGTTCCGCCTCTGCCGGCCTGGACGCCAGGCTAAGCAGAAGCTGGCCGCCAGCTGTGCGTGGCAGCCCCAGCCCGCAGGGAGCGAGGGGGCCGGGGTGGGCGGCAGGGCTGGCGCGGGCCCAACGCTTATTATTTCACACAGCCCAAGGCCGACCTCTGCCCAGCCCCCGCGGGCTTACGTGTTGTCTGGTTCGATCGGATTTGTGAAGGGTGCAGAGATGGGCTCCGTGAAGTGAAGTGGAGTCTCAGGAACTCACTGCTCTGACGCGACCGAGCTGGGAGCGGGGCCAAGGCCCTCCCGCCGCCGCCCCCTCCCCCGACTGCCAGGTGCCCTTGGACGAGCCTCTGATGGGCGGGAAGCGACGCAGGGACAGCAGGACCGGGGGCGTGCAGCTGGGGGGACAGGCGGGGGGGCTCACGGCACGAGGGCCAGGCAGGCCATCCCGCCCCCCCGCCCAGGTGGGCCCCAGGCCCCTCCGCCTTCGCTGCCCCCGGGAAACACGGGGAGTAGCCCTGGGCGCTGGTGTCGGAGCTCCCGGGGCCTCTCCAAAGCCCCGGCTGGGCCCCCGCCCGCCCTGCACAAAGCCTGTGCCGCTCAGAGGTCCGTGACCTACCTACCCGCAGCCCAGAGCAGATGGACCTGCGCGCGCCAGCTGGCTGCCCGCGTGCGGCTGGTCGAGGGGAGGAAGGGACGCTTCCCCACAGAGGCACACGCCGCCCGGCCCACGGCCGCAGGGGCCGGCAGCACGGCAGGAGGGCACCCGCGGAGGCCAAGCTGAGGGTGGCCTGGGAGCCCCCGCCCCCCGCCCCCAGGGACCCTCCCCACTGCTGCCTCTTAGGCACACACATGCACACACCGTGTGTGCAACTCCACACTGAGACACACATGCACACCCCCAAACAGGGGCACTCACACAGCCGGGCATGCGGTTACATACGTGCACACACACACCCATGCCATGGCGCGCACACGCTCATGTGTGTGTGCACACGCTCACACACAGGCACACACGTGCACACTCACACTTATATGCACACACACTCATGCTCACACATGACACGCCAACACACGTGTGCACACCCCTGTGCACACACCCCCATACCTGTGCACGCTCATACCTGCTCGCACTCGTGCTCACACGCACACGCACACGCACCTCTCTGCACGCGCAGCCGCGTGCCCATCCGCTCACGGCACAGTTCGCACGTGTGAGGCGCCCAGGCCGGACACGGGGGTGGGCACGTCAGTCGCGGTGACGCTGCAGGGGGGGCAGGAGGAGGGGGCCGCTGGTCACCCAGGAGAGGCTGCGGGGGCTGGGGGGCTCGGAGACGCACAGCAGCGGCGCTGCCCGCCCCCCGCCCCACAACCCACGCCGCCACCCCGCCGTCCCCGCCTCGCTGGGCAGCTGCTGTCAACGACGTGCACCTGACCTTGGACACGCACGTCCGGGAGGAGGGATGATCTCACTAGACGCGAGCCGAGCCCTCTGGAGGGGCCGGGGGGCGGGGGAGGCGGCGAGGGGCCCCCTCCCTGTGGCCGGGCCCCCAGCAGCCCTGGCCCCTCTGTCCTCACCGCCTGCGTGTGGGCCTCCCAGCCCCCAGGGAGGGCGACCGCGGCCGCCGCCCTCAGGAGTGGGTGGCGCCCTGTCCTTGTGGTGTCCTGCCTGCCCCCAGCCAGCCCCTCTCACAGCGATGGCCAGGGGCCTCTGGAGGTTCCCCCGAGCCAGGCAGGGTGTGGGGTCAGAGGTCTGTGGGACGTGACCCCGGGTCCCCTCGTGGGTCCTGGCCACCGGACAGACTGTCCTGAAAGCCCGTGTCGGCGGGGAGGAGGAGAGTCGTGACTGGTGACCTGTCTGCCCGGCCCCTCCCCCCCGCCCCCCCCCACGCCTGCCTGGCATCAGACTCACTGGTGTGGGGCTTGGGCCAGGCGGCCCGCGGCCCTGACTGCGCCCTCCTCCTGCTGCAGGGGAAGGGCTCTAAGGCCTCTTCGCCGCCCGCAGGTCCGTCCCCACACGCCGGGCCTGGGTCTAGTGCCCACACGCCCGCCCGGAGGACAGGAGTCTAGCCCCGAGTTGCCACTCTGCCAACGAAGCAGGTGACCCGAGAACCTGGCCCTGAGGACCCCAGGATCTCTCCAGACACCCAAGGCTCCCCAGCTCAGCACGGGGTGGCGTGCAGTCCGGGGCTGGCCGCAGCCTTCTCTGTGGTCCACGCAGGGCCCCTCTGAGAGGGCGGGGCTGAGAGGGGTGCGCCCGCCCCCGCCCCCGCCCCGCCCCCTTCCCGCCACTCACCTTGAGGGAGTAGGCCAAAGCAATGAAGCCCAGGCAACAGAAGTTGAGGTAGACGAAGTTGAAGATGGACCACAGGTAGTAGTCGTTCACCTCGCTGGTGTCGGGGTACACCTCGATGACCGTCGTGGGGTTGGTCATCGTCTTCTTCTCCGCAAGGTGCTTGCAGACGGGCGGGGCGCCGCCGGCCCGCACGCTGTCCGTCTTGCCGCTCTTGGACTCCATGGGGAACAGCGTGGGCGCCATGGGGGGCGAGGCCGAGGGCTCAGGGGCCGGGGCCGCCGGCGCCTGCAGGGCGGGGGGCTTGGACACGCAGGCGAAGCAGCCCTTGGGCGAGCCTGCGGGGGGCCTGGGGATCCAGAAGGCCCCGTCCAGGGGCACTCGGGCTTCCGGGGCGCCGTCCGTGGTGCTGGCCGGGGCTCCCAGCGGGGCTGGGCACTGGCCGGGGCCCTGGGCCTGCGGGGAGGGAAGAGGAAGCATGCTCCGGGCCCACCCTGGTTCCCCCCAGCGTCGCCCCTGCCGCCCGGTGGCAGCCCCAAAGGAGACGGACATCCCCGCCAAGGCGGCCGGCTGCCAGCCTGCCACCTGCCTCCCCGCCGCCCTGGCCGCTGGCCTGTCAAAGCCCTTCACAGTTGCCTCCGCACGAACATTGGGGGCTTTTCATCGCTTTGCCATCTGCGCACAAACATTCCCCCACGGACACAAAACGGCAACACCCCCCGCACACCCAACAAGGCCCCGACTGACTCGCCGTTGCAATAAACAGAGTGCGCCAGCGCCCCAGACACCTCGGCGGGCACGCAGGGCGGAAACCCCCCAATGACACTGCTCAGCCGGCCTGGCGGAGCGAGCCGGGCTGCCCGGACACCTGCAACCCCGCGCCGCGGGCACCCCGGACACAAACGCCACCCGCCGCCGGCTCTCCAGACCCCGGCACGCCCGGTGCGCTCAGAGGCGCCGCCAGGTAAACAGCTGCGCACTGAGACACGCAGCGCGGACACACACGGCGACGCAAGACACCGAGGCTGCGGGGGCTCCAAACTCGCGCGCAACGACGTCCCCGCCGCCAACCCCGGCCCCAAGCGGCGCCGGGACCCCGAGTGCACGCACTCGCAGGGAGCCACCCACCCTGTGCTACGGACAGAGGCACAATGACACTCTGCGAAACCACTTCTCCAACGAGGCACCGGGGCGCTCGCGCCCCGCTGGGGGGTCTGCGGCCGAGGCCCCGCGGCCCCCGGCCGCCGCAGGTCCCGGACGGTCGGTGCTCGCACTTACGGGCGACTCCTGGGCCGGCGGCTCCGACCCCGGGGCTCTGTCCGCGCGTCCTTCCGCCGTCCCGCGGGCCGCCGTGTGTCCCGCCGCTCCGCGTCCCAGCGTCCCAGCCTCGGTGCGCGGAGAGCGCGGGGCGGGGGGCAGGGAGGGTGCGGGGCTGGCGGCGCTGCCTCCCCGCTGCCTGCGTTCGCTCCGCAGCGCCGGCCGGGCCGCGCGGCTGCAGCCGGAGCCTGACTCACCGCGGCGCGGCGGCCGAGGCGGGCGCAGCCACTTCCCCGCCTCCTCCCGCAAGCGGGGCGGGGGCTGTGGCGCGGCCGGAAGCCCGACCCTCAGGGGTTGCGGGGCTGGCCAGGGAGGGCTCTCCCCAGACCCGACCCGGCACCCACACCACCGCGGCTCCCAAGCTGCTCCCGGCCCCTGCTGCAGCCCAACCCCTGCCTGGGTCCTCCCAGCTGCCTCCCCAAAGCGCGCCCTTCCTCCTGGCCCTGTCCCGAATCGGGCCCCTCGCTGGCCCATGTCCTTCTTGAATCTGACCCCTCGCAGCCCCAAAGCCCCCAATTCCAGCCCCTCTCTGGGCAGGACGGGCCTCACCAAGCCCTCACTCGAGCTCCCACGCTGCACAGTCCTGTCCCCAGCCAGGGGCTGCCACCTCACAGCGCCGGCCTCCTGAGCCCCGAAGGCCAGGCCCCGGCGGGGCCCCGTGGCCCCCACACGGCCGGCTTCTCGGGCCCACCCCTGTCCGAGCGCAGGCCTCGCGTTCCCCAGCCTGACCCCACACGCCGGCCTGGAGCCCTCGAACCCTGGCCTTGCTAATCCAGCTCCGTCCCAAGGCCCAGCCTGGAGCCCCTCCGCCCGTCTGGCCAGACGACCTTCTCCGAGCCCGAGTGACCCTTGTCTCCTCGGAGCTCTGTCCACGCACTGGCCCGCGCCTCTGCGAGCCCCGGCCTATTCGCCTGGTCCCCGCCCCACAGGTGCTCTGTCCCCACAAGTCACTTGCCTGTCACAGCCTCAGGGTCGTTCCCCCCCCACGCTGACCCCGGCGGCTCTCCCGTGCCTGCAAAACTCCCAGCGACCCCACCGTGGGGAAGCGCCGCCAGGGGGCCAGGGGGCGCCTCCCCGAGCGGGGTCCTCCTCCCCGCCCACGGGCCCCCACGCAGCCCAGGCCCTCCAAAGCCCCCGCGTGCTGCCCGGAAGCATGACAGCCCGTGCCCCTGTGATCTCCCTCCAAGCCCCGGCCACCCAGACGCCCCGGCCAAGCTGTCTCCCCTCTGCCCACGACCCTCCCTGCTCTGCGCCCGGGGCCCTTCTCAGGGACCCTGTGTCCCCTCCGAGTCCTGGCTGCCTTTGCCCATCCGCGCCGGACCTGGTTCTCTTCCAGACATTCGGCGCGCCCCCTATCCTGGGACAGGTCCCCACTCCCCTCAGACCCCTCCCCACCCTCCCCACCCAGTCGTTCCCGCCCCCCACCCCCAGGGCAGCCTCTTCCACGCTGGTCAGGAACCCACAGCACAAAGGCAGTCTTACACTTTGTTGATAAAACCTTCGGTGAGTGGGAGGACTTCCCAAGCCCCAGTCCCGCCCCTGCTGGCCACGCCCCATGAGGCCACGCCCCCACGAGGCCACGCCCCCGGGAGCCCTCGCCGAGGGCCTTAGGCGCAGGGCATGTGGCGTCTGCCAGGAGGCCAGGGTTCCGTTCTCCCTCACCCAACACCCACTGCCCCCTCCCAAAGGCCTGGCGTGGGGGCACCCAGACCCCGTTCCTCGGGCCGAGGCTGACCCAAGGTGCCCTCCCACCCCACCGGGGCTCCCCGGCCCCTGAGCTGGTCTTCCCCAGCAACGCACTGCCCCACTGCACGAGCCGCGCCCGGGCTGCCAGCGAGGGGCCCACAGGGGCCTGCAGCAGGTCGCGTCGCGGTCAGGCCCCGCCCCTGCCACCCTGAGTGGGTGAGCAAAGGGGCTGGACCTGCGTTGGCTCCCGAGCGCTCAGTCTCGTCCAGGCAGGGGTGTGGGACAGGGAAGGCCACCCCCACCTCGCCCTCGGGCTGCTGGGGTGGCGCCAGCCATGACCGAGCCAACGCTGTGCCAGGCTCCTCCGGGCGTCGGGCAGGTCCCCTGGAGGAGCGCCCGTTACTATTCACGTTTGGGAGACACCTGAGGCCGAGGGTGGGGTCAGGGAGCTGCAGCCGAGCCAGGGCGACCGCAGGACCCCAGACTGCCAAGGAGCAAGGATGACCCGGTGGCCGGGTTGGGGTCGGGGCCTCGGGCACGCTAATCCACAGCATCAGGGTTCTGGCTGCGCGGGCCCGCGGGTTCCAGGAGGGTGGCCCCCGGAGGCCTGATCGAGACTCGGAGCCGAGAGGGCCGCGCACTCGGCGAGCTGACTGTAGATCTCCGGGGGTGGTGTGGGGGCCGGGGGGCGCTGGCCGTGCCCTCCTGTTGGCGGGGGCGAGGGAGCCCTCAGCAGTCCTCCCGGGGAGCGGCCGGGGCTCTGTCCCCGGGCCTCTCAGGGCACAGCGCCACGGCTTTGATGACGCTGTCGCCCCAGAAGCCCGGCCAGGCCCTGCAGTCTGCCCGCTCCCTGCTCAGGTTTCAGGCGCAGAGAGCACACTGGGCACGCGCTCCCCAGCCGCATCGCCTTTCCGGCGGGACGTTCTTCAGAGAAGGCGGCCCCTGAGGCTCAGCTCTGGGTGCCACCCCCCTGGCCCCCTGGGGCCAGGCCAACAGCACAAAGCCCTGCGGCCTGTCCCATGGGCTGCACCCGCACGCGCCCCGGCCCTCCGACTCCCCTCCATCCCTCAGAACCCCCTGGCTGTACAGCTGCAGCCCGGCACACGCTTCTGTCCCCCAGCAGAGGCCCTGAGCTGGGTGGGGGGCCGCCGTGGCCTGGGGCGATTCCTAACTCAGACCCCTGAACCCTGGGGAGGCCTGCTCGGCCCTGACTGGGCATCACACGGCAGCCGCTTCCGAGCCGCAGGTGAGGCCGCCGGGCCAGGAGGGAGGCGGCCCACTCACTGCCGGCCCTGCACAGCTCCCTTCCTAGGCCAGGCAGGGTGCGCAGGGGGCCCGGGGCGCCCCGGGGCCCGCTGCCAGGGTCTCCTCTGCGCAGCAGGGCCCTCCAGGGTGCCTGGCAGCCCCCTGAAAGCCGGCCTTAGTGAGGGCCGTGTGGGGGCGGGGCGGATGCAGCCTCCAGCCCAGGCCCCACTCGGCTGGTCGCTGGTCCAGGCCGGGGACAAGCCAGCCCCACCTCCCAAGGCAGGGCAGCCACCCCGAGCCTGCAGGGTCCCAGGCGCAGGGCACCTTGAAAGACCTGTCCCCCCAAAGTCCCCAAATGTGAGCGTCCCTCAGCCCCTCCCCCAACCTGGATTTAGAGCTACCCCTCACCAAGCACAGAACACGCCCACACACAGGAAGAAGCCCCAGCAACTTTATTTTCTTGTCAACTTTGGCTCCCGGCCACTTGGGAGGGGGCGGCCTCCAAGAGGAGCCAGGCGCCCCGCCCCAGCCCCCCACCCCACCTCGGGCCCGTCAATGCCCTCCCCAGTGGGGTCCAGCACCGGGATGACCCGCAGGCCTAACCAGCTTGGCTTCTGTCCCCTCCCACCAAGTCCGGCTCTGCCCTGCCGGTCGCCATGCCTCAGCTGGCCCTGGCTGGCCGGGCCCGACACACCGGGGGGGGAGGGGGGGGGGCAGGGCGGCCGCGCCCGGCGCCAGGCCCTGGAGGAGCCAGGAAGGCAGCCTGGTGCGGAGCTGCCCAGAGGCCCAGCCAGGGCCCAGGCTGGGGCAGGACACGGTGGTGTCGTCCTGGGGCGCACAACCCACAGCTGCCAAGCCGTGCTGGGTCTTCCCAGCAAGCGCGAAAGGGACCCATGAGCCCACTGGGGGCCCCGCCTGCCACCAGGCAGACAGGCGGGCAGGCGGCGCTCCGCAACTCGGGAAGGAAGACCACAGGACGACAGCGCCCGCCAGGCCAGCAACCCGGAGAGCTGGGCCGAGCGCGGGCAAGTGAGAGTGTGCAAATGTGTGAGTGTGTGCGGGGGGGAGGGGACAGCCCGGAAGGCGGGCGGCCCCCCCCGCCCCCCCACCGGAAGCTCCCTTCCTGCGGCACGCTGGCGCCTACAGCCGGGCGGCCTCTGCCAGGCCCACACGGTTGTCCTCGCGGTCGAACACGGTGTAGTAGCGGCCGATGAAGACGTCACCCAGGATCCAGAGCGGCCCCGCGGGCGGGGGGATGTCCATGCCCATGAAGCCACTGAGGCAGATGCTCTTGCCGCCCTGCGACACCTGCGGCGGCCAGAGTGTCACCAGCTGCCGCCGCCTGCCCGCGGGCCCGCCCGCACCCGGGCCGCCCTGCCCGCCCACTCCCGCACCTTGAGTGTGTAGTCCTCTGCGCTGAGCCTGTAGTCTTTGCCCCCAAGCTTCAAGGTGACCTCGGGAAGGCTGGACACCTTCTCACAGGGGACCATGTACTGAAGGAGAAGAGGGGCGCGCGTCAGGGGGCAGCCGGGGGCGCCCCGCGCCCCGCCCCGCGCCGGCCCGCCTGCTCACCTCTCCCTGGATGAGGGGCACCGCCCCGATCGCCTTCTGCAGCGCGCGCACCTCCTCCACGGGGCCCACCAGCAGGGAGGTGCCCGTGTCCACAATGGCCTCGCAGCCCTCCTTGCACAGGGTCAGGCTGCTGCCCACGGCCACCCTGCGGGGGCACCGGTGTGAGCCCCCCGCCGTGCCCGCAGGACGCGCCCCTCCTCTGCCTCGGGACCCGGCTGGGAGCGGAGGCTGGGGCCAGGGCCCACGGGCCGCCGGAGCCGCCCACAGGCGCCGAGTCCGGGCCCGCCCCCCCCAGGGCCCGAGGGCCCCGCCGCAGCCGCACGGGGTGGAGCAAGGGCCCGGAGCCCGGCACTCACTCGTCCATGTGGACCTGCCAGTAGGCCTTGCGGGTGACGTTGAGGTAGCTGATGGGGCCCTTGTAGTACTTCGCGTCGGTGCCTCCCAGCATCAGCTCGCCCCCGGGCTGTGCGTTGGGGTCCCTGGGAGGAAGAGCAGGAGCGTCGGCCCCCTGCCTGCCCTCGGTCCCGCCAGAGCACTGGGCGGCACAGGGACAGGCCAGGGCTGGGGGGCAACCCCAGGGGGGCCTGCCAGAGCAGGAGCCTTCCCGGGCCCTGAGGCAAGGTTCTGGAAGAGGCACAGGGGAGTGGAACCTCCTGCCCTCCCAGGGGAGGGGCTCCGACTCCACGCCGTGGGAGGGCTGCGCGCCAAAACTGCGCTCGAGCCTCGGGGCCCCCTGGTCGGCCAGCCGAGCACGGCGAGGGTCAGGCCGCTGGCCACACGGGCAAGAGAACGCCGCGAACCCAAGGACGACACCAAGGAGGGCCTCCAGGAGGAGGTGTGCCAGGCAACCTGAGGGTTGAGCCAGCTTGGCCCTGGGCCCTCTGGGCTGTCAGCAACCCAGGGGCGGCCTCCACCCGTCACTGACCTGGCTCTGCTTCTCACAGAGGGTCCCCCGGCCAGGACCCCGGACACAGGGCCCGAGTACAGTCCCTGGGGAGACGTGGCCTTCTCCGGCGGCTGCTGGCCGCTGCCCCGCCCCTCCCCCTGCACGGCCGCGGGGCGGGGCGGGGACAGGCCCGGCTGCCTACCTGTTCAGGTAGAAAGAGAAGATGTTCTTGTCCACCAGCTTCTGCTGCATCAGGTTATCGAAGACGGGCACTACGTTGTTGACGGAGATGCGGGGGTAGGCCATGCCCAGGATGCCGTCGAACTTGGCCGCGATGAAGGTGATGCCCGGCTGCTTGGTGGCCTCCCCAAAGATCTGCTTCTCCACCTTGACGCCCGCGCCCGATGAGGCCGAGGTACAGGGCACCTGTGGGCCACGGGGCTCAGTGGGCCGTCCGAGCTTGATCACTGCCCCTCGCCTGACACGTGGGACCCACGAGGGCAGGGGCTGGAGGGAGGGACCGGCCGCACGGCTGGGGCAGGCTGCGGTGTCGGCAGTGGGTCCGCACCCCGGCAGGTCCGCCTCACCAGGGGCCGCGCAGGGGAGCACCCAGGGAGGCCCCTTCCCAGCCCCCACCGCACTGGAGTGGCTCCTGTCCTGGGTTGGCCGGGGGGACTCAGACCCCATGACCCAACCCAATGGCAGAGTCGAGGCCACAACACCCGTCCCCCGCCCAGCGGAGGGAGCAGAGCAGGATGTGGGAACAAACAGCCGTGAGGGTGACACGGGCGGGGGGCGGGGGGGGGAGCGTGCCAGGCCACATCCTGCTCCGGGCCCCGGGAGAGACCAGGTGCGCCCACACCGGACGCCTGCCGGCAGGGGGCGGCCAGCACAGCGCCCTGGGAAGGTGCCCACGGGCCCTCGGGCTGCCACAGGCACAGGCCATCTGTGCTCGGAGAGGGGTGAGCTGCCGGGGGCTCCTGGGGCTGGGGGGCCACCTCTCTGGCTCCTCATCCGCCCAGAGCTCCAGGCCGGTCCCGTCAGGCACCGCCGGCCCCTCCTCGATGGGGGAGCCCGTCCTGCACACGCCCCGGAGCCCCTCCGCTGCAGGCAGCACCTCCTATGGCTGACCCCCCACCAGCTGCCCGAGGACCGCCCCCCTCCATCTCTACCTCCCCCAGGGACCTCCCCCAGGGCTGGCCCCAAGCGCTCAGCTGGTGCCACAAACCCGGCCCTCCAACCGCCCACGGGCTGGGGCGGAGACCCCCCTCCCAGGCCTGCGCCCACGGGCGGGGCCTCGCCGCAGCAGCGGCCCCCCTCCACGCTGCCCCGTCCCGTCCCCTCCCCTCCCCCGGCCGTCCCCCAGGCCTGCATTCGGCCAGGCCTGCCCCAGCCCCTGTCCACACTCACTTGCTGCGCCTTCACCGCAGGACACTCAGGGCTCCTCCCCACGTCCAGCCCCCCCCCCTTGGGGTCACCGCGCCCTCTCGCCCTGCCACAGGCAGAGGGAGAACCCCCGACCACCGTGAGCGCCGCGTGGGGGACGAGCTCACCGACACGGTGTCCTGGCTCAGGTACCCGGAGAGGCTGCCCGAGCCGTAGTGGATGTCAAAGGACGTGCCGTTCTTCACGTACGTGCTGGACTTCCCGCTGTTGTACTTGTGGTGGATCCCTGTGCATGGGGGGCCGTGAGCCTGCCGCCCGTGTGGCCTCAGACCCCCGACCCCCGCACTGCCGCCAGGCCGCCCGTGCCCGGCCCCCAGCCACGGAGCCGCCCTCCCTGGGGCGCAGGACAGCAGGCCGGCCCCCCAGCCGTGGTCTCAGCGCTGTCTGCAATCGGCCCACGGCCGGCTTCCCCCTTGGCCCCTCCGGGCTGGGCGAGAAAACGAGGCCGGCAGGTAGAGGCGCCCCCGGACAGCGGGAGCCCGGGGCAGGGCCCGTCTGGCGTGGCCAAGAGCTGGGGGGCGGCCCGTTGCCCAGGTACCAAGGCAGGGCCGCAGCTTCCCTCAGCCCCGGCATCCGGCCCACAGCCACGTCCCGGGACGGCAGTGGACGGGCGGGCGGGCGGCCGGCAGCAGCCCCAGCGCGCACACGGGCGGGGGGCAGGGGCCGGGGGGCGGAGGGGGGCCGTGCGTCCCCCCCACCCCTGCACCGGGAAGGGGGCGCGGGGGCAGGCCATGCGTGTGACGTACAGCAGGCGAAGTCCAGGAGTTTGCAGTGGATGGAGGGCACCCACAGGTTGGAGGAGCCAGTGTCGAAGACGACGGTGAAACACTGCGGGGGGGTCCCGATGCCGATCTCCCCGTAGTACTGGGCCTGGGGGAAGGCCGGGTCCCTCAGGGCCGGGCGAGGGCGCCCCAGCCCCCCGCCGGGCCTCACCGCACGGGGCACGGGTGCTGGGGGTCCACAAGCTGTCCGGCTGCGCACCCCCCGCCACCCCTACCACTGCCTGACCTGCACGAGCACAGAGAAGCGCCCCTGCACTTGAAACATGAAACCAGGGGACCCCTCAGACTCAGGACAGGATCCACCTGCCACCCGAACCTCAGGCGGGAAGGGTCTCTGGGGTCCAGGCCCCCAGAGGGGAGAGAGTGCCTCCCAGGACGGGGGCCAAGTCAGGGGCCTCGGTTCCCACCCCGTTCCTGCCCCTGTCCAGGGCCTGGAGGCGCTCCCAGGGCGGCGTCTCCGGTGGCGGAGGGAAAAGGCACGTCCTGGAGGCTCGGAGCCCCAACGGGCCCAGGGCCCCAACGGGACGCACCCGGGGGCGTGATGGGGACACGTGCCTCTCTGAGCCTCAGAGGGAAGCCCCGTCCTTGGCCCTCTTGTAGGTCAGAGGGTACGTGCGTTCTTGAGCAAGGGTCCCCTGGGCCCCGGCACCCCCTCCCCTGGGGAAGGAGCCTGAGACGCCGGTTGCCACGGCAATGTGCCACGAGTCCTCCAGGGCCACCTCTCCCGGCCGCTTGGCTCCAGCGGCACCAGCAGCTGCTGAGTCACGACCCAACCGAAGTGTCCAGATCCAGGGATGGAGAATGACTCAGCAAGCACCCCAGTGTGTGGGAACGGAGCACAAACAGGAACTGGTCGGCTGGCCCCCCTCTACCGGCCCGGTCACATGCCAACGAGGCTCCGGCTTCCTGGCACGGTGCGGCTCCAGCCAGCTGGGACAGAAGGCACGGCTACCTGCCCCAGGCCCAGGCGGACCAGAGGCTGGAAGGTAGCGAGAGGCTGGCTCCCTGAGACTCAGGGGTGGGGCCGGCGAGGATGTCCCCAGAGCTGGGTGGAGGCCAACCTGGCCCCGGCCTGCCATGCGGCTTCCAGAGCGTTCCACCTGAGCCTCTATCCAGCCCCAGAAGCCCAGGCTGCGTCACAGGTGGCCCCAGGCTCTGAAGCCGTTAGCGGCTCCCCAACAGGCAGGCCCGGATACCCCACGGCAAGGACCCCAGGGCCCCGCCCTCTCTGTGCTGGCGCCTGATTCCCAGCCCCTCCCCTAAGGGCCCGTGGCCCCGCACCCAGCCCCCTCACAGGTAGCAGGTGATGCCGTCCCCACTCCCCACAGGCTGGCCTTGAGGAGGAGACCCCTGCTCAGCTCTGAGCCACAGCTGGTGGCCCGCAGGAGTAGATGTCACAGAGGTGCAGTGGCCACCCCAACCCCCTCTCCCCAGGCAGGAGAGCCTGGGGCTGTGCAGACCCCAGGGGAGGTGAGAGCCTCCACGGGGCGGGGGCGTGGCCAGTGGAAGCCCCACCCCCACAGTGCAGGCAAACGCGCAAAGCTCAAAACTGCTGGCTCACGGGGCTTGCGCTACACCGGGGGGCTTGCGCTACACCGGGGGGCTTGCGCTACACCGGGGGGCTTGCGCTACACCCGGGTGTCTGTGGTAAGCCCGGCCCCGCCCCCCGTGGGCCTCTGGCCCCACACTCACGTCCATGTAGTTCTTGAGCACCTCAGGGACGGGCCCCCCGATCAAGGCGGGCTCCCCCTGGGTGTACTTTGAAATGGGGCCCTTGGCGATCAGGTGTTCCACAGGGCCTGCCGCCTCCGACATGGTCCGGCGGATGGACGTGAACTTGTGCAGCGGGATTCTGTCAAGAGGGGGTCAGGGCTCCTCAGGACAGGGCTCTCACCCAGGCTCGCACACCAAGGGGCCTCAAAGACTCCCCCGGGCTTCGGTCCCCACTCTGGTTTCCTCTGTGACACAGTGGCTGGGGGGGGATCTACTAAGTGTCAGTGGCCACCTGCCACCGCTGCCCAAAGCCTTCCAGGCCCCTCCCCCACAGACCCGAGGCTGACATGGTCCCCCCCCCTGCGCAGAACATCCTCCCCCAGCGGCTCCCTCCTGGCGTCAGGCTGGACACGAACGTCACCCCCTCTGAGAAGCCCTCCTTGGCCCCCCCCTGTCGCCCTTCACATCACCCTGTCTCCTCCTGTCACCTGACCTGTCACCCCAGAAAAAAGAATCTTGAGGACCACACGGTGCACAGGTGCGCGGTTGCCTCTGGCCCCGCGGGTGCGCCCCGCACGGAAACGCCCGCCTCCCAGCACAAGCACCCCTTGGAGAGTTGGGGGAGGGGTACCGGGCTCGCTGGGGCAGAAGGCGGGGCAGGGGAGCACACCTGAGCCAGGTTAACCTCTGGGGACTCGGGCGTCCGAGGCGACGGCCAGGGGATGGGACGCCAGCCTCTAGGGGCTGGGAGGCTAGGGGAGCCTGCGGCTCCTGCCCGGGGGGAGGGGCACGCGCCCAGGAATCAAGGAACGGGGGGCTGCAAGGGGCGGTGGCCCCCCACCCCCAACTGCTCTCCGTCCCTTGGGGAGGCCTGTGGGTGGGGCTGGGGCAGGACCGGGACTGCGGCTGCTCCCCCACAGCCGCTCCAGTTGGGGCTACTCACTCCCGGCCGCAGCCCACGCAGGGAGCCCTTTGGCAAGGCCCTGCCCCACTGGGCCCCCAGCCAGCTCCCCGGCCTCAGCACCTCACCCACCTGCCCACGGGCAGAAGGCCCGCAGCAGAGGTGCAACAGTGGGGGCCCAGGCCTGGTACAACGGCTCCCGAGGGGCGAGCTGGCCTGCTGGGAGGGCAGGTGGCTTGCGAGGTGAGGCGCAGGGGTGCAGGTCTCAGGCCCGCGGCGGGGGCGTGGGGGGGGTGCGGTGCTCACTGGGTCGGAGCCCCAGCCCTCTCCTTAGGCCCACTCCCGCCTGTGGGCGTCTAGGCCTCTTCCGGCCGCCGAGACTCTCCTAGCCCAGGGCCTGCGATAAGGTCTCACGTGACCACCCGGAGGGACGAGCCCCAGCCCCAGCGGGGAAACGACTTGCCCAGGTTCGGCGGCCTTCGCGGCCAACACCCAGGGTCTCCCGACTTGCACGCAGGGGCCCTGGATTCGAGCACCCTACCCCACCTGTTCTGGGGAGGCGGGGTCGGTCCGGAACTCCAGCCACGTTCCGTCCCACCCCTACAAGGAAGGGGACCGCGGGGGGGTCTCCGGCGGGAGTTCTTGAGCGAACCACGCACCTGCACGGCGGCCCTGCCCAGTCCGAGGGTGGCCCTGCGGGCGGCCGCGCGGACCCCAGCTCGGGGTGGAAGGGGCGGGGGCGCGCGGAGCGCACGGAGGTCACTGGCGGCGCAAGGCTCCGGGGTCGGCAGACCTCACCTGACCAGTGCGGCGGCGGGCGCGGCCAGGAGGCCGAGGATGAGCAGCAGCAGGCGGGGGGGCTGCATGGCGACGGAGGCGGCGGCGGCGGCGGCGGTGGCGGTGGCAGCGGCGGAACCGGGCGGCCGGGTCAAAGCGGCTGGTCCAGAGGTCGCGCGTTTATAATCGGGATGACGGCGCAGCGGGGCCGGGTCAGCTGACTGGCTTGTTTGCACCGGGGCCGGTCACGTGGGCTAGGGCCGGCGTGCGCGGGGCGGGGCCTGGGCGAGCCCGGGCGGAGCGATCCAAGACCACGCCCCCAGCCTGCTGCAGGCGCTCCCCGCCCGGGCCGCGCCGGGTCGCGCCCCCGCGTCCAGGCTTGCTGTTACCCTGCGTGGGTGTCCGTGTCCCGGGAGGGCACACGCAGCCCCCGGGCCTGGGCTGAAGGGTCCCGGACCTGGACCCCTGAACGCCTGCTGCCGGGCGAGACCCGGAGCCGCGGCTCCTTCCTGCCACAGGCTCGCGGGGTGTGCGTGGAAGGGGCCCCGCAGCGCTCTGCGGCCCCCAGGGCGCCCCGCCCCATCTCCCCCTGCTGCGCGTTTTGCTCCTCCACCGGCGCCCACCGCCGGGCGCCCCTGTGCCTTCCACTCTTACTTTGCCCTGGGCATCTCTGAAAGCTCCGGGCCCCTCAGGCTCCCTCTCCAGCTGTGCACTACCTGCCCCGCTCCTCAGAGCAACACCTGGCTGGCCCTGTCCCGGCTCCAGCAGGGCCTGGGAGAGTGACCCCTTCGCTGCCACCAGAGTTCGGCCCTGCAGAAGCCAGGGGACCGCAGGCCTGGGCCCCGCCATCCACCCCTTCCTACCCCTTTTGGCACTTGGTGTCGGGAGCTGAGTTCGCTGTTTGAGGGGAGGGCCAGCTCCATCCCGTGACCAAGGCTCAGCCAGAAGAAGGGGCAGGCCCTAACCTCAAGGAGGAAAAGAGCTTGGAGAGGCTGCTTTAGAAAAGGTCATGTCCAGGGGGAAATTAAGTGGAGGAATGTGCTAGAAAGTGACCACAGCCACAGAGGCACTTGTGAGGCTGGCACAAGAGGGGGTGGCAGGGGGAGGGCGGGCAGAGCCTGCCGGCTGTGTCTGGCTGTGTCCGGCGGGGGCGGGCTGGGGTCCTTGGCCTTTGCCAGAGGACAGCAGCTGAGAAAGGACTGCCGGCCAGTCCCTTCGACGCAGAGTGGAGCCTTCTATCTGGGTCGTTGCTGGGATTCCCAGCACCTGGAGCCGTGCCTGCCATGGGGCAGGTGCTCAGCGGCTTTGTGGAGGGGGCGCCACAAAGGGTGCTCGAGACCCCGGAGGTACTGACCCGCGGGCTCTGGGGTCCCTCCGTGGTAGGCAGCGCCTCGGGGCCTGACTGTGGGGGCTGGGACCCAGGCTGGGTCCGGCCTCTACCCGCAGCGCCCGAGGGAGCCCACGTCCCCTGAACACGCATCTTCCCCGGCCTGGTCCCTGTGCTTCCCGAGGGACCTGTGGCTGCGGGTGGGCCCCTGGGGCCTCTCTGCTCTTCACAGGCCGAAGGCCCCGTGGCGTGGCCCCCCCCCCCACGTCAGAGCCATTCGTGGTGTGGTTGGCCAGAGGGCCCCAGAGGGCCTGTCCCCTGTGCCCTGCCACATGGGCAGGGCCACAGAGACGCCCCTTGGGCCAAAGGCAGGCCTGGGGGGACAGGGCCCCCAAGCAGCCGGGCAGGCGCGGGGCCCAGGGCACGCCTCCTGGTCTCTGGGTTGGGGCCGGGGCCCGGGTGGGCGGGGCTGCCTGTCGAGTCAGGGGCTGGGGGCTGGGGGTCGCTCCTCTTGCCCTCCCCTCAGACGCCTGGTGGGCCGTCCCTCCTGCGGTTAATTGCGCAGCACCCCCCACGGGCCCTGGGTGCTGGGACGTCACGGGACCCGCCCAGGAATCCCTCCCTGCGGAATTCATGCTCCAGACCGGGAGCCACGCCACAGAGGCTTCTAGAAGGAGACAGGGGCTCAGGGAGATCCCAGGGCAGCAGAGGGACAGGGAGTGACAGGAAGTGGGTGTTGCAATGGGAGAAGCCTCACGTGGAGGACAGCTGAGCGGAGCGCAGGCGGGGCGGGGGTGGGGGATGAGGTCAGAGGTCAGAGGTCAGAGAGCAGCCCATGGAGGACTCCGGTTCGTCTCGGAGGGGCCTGGTCGGGGCCACTGTGTGCTGGATGCCGGCGGGGATGGGGGCCGGGCTGGGGGGCGGGCTGGCCGGCGATGGGCTGCAAGCAGCGGTCAGCTTTGGGCACGCTTCCGAGGCAGGGCCGGCAGGATTTCCCGGTGGATGGGAAGGTAGTGTGTGATGGGCGGGGGGGGGGGCTCCACGCTCACTAGGGGTCTGTCCAGACTGGCTGGAAGGCAGCGTGGTGTTGGCCAAGACAGGTGCCGGAGGAGAGGCCCGGGAGGAAGGCCGGAACCCTGGCTTGGACATGTCCCTGTGAAGGTGACGCCCAGGGGACAGACAGCGGCTGGAGCTGGGAGTGGAGGGGACAGAGCCGCGCTGAGAGAGGAGCTCGGGAGTCCTCAACTCGCGACAGCCCCTAAGCCGTGAGTCTCGGCCGAGCAAGAGCCGAGTGCAGAGGCGAGGAGCAGCCTTGGGGCCGCCCAGCGTGAGGTCTGGGGGTGGCTGGGGGACAACCGACCGGCGAAGGAGATGGAGCGGGCGCTGCCGGGAGCAGAGGCCAGGAGAGGAGGCCCCAGAAAGTGCAGGTCTCGGAGGGGCGGCCGCCGTGGCAGGGGCCGCCGCAGGGAGCGGCCGGCGGCCTCTGGATTTGGTCATCTGACCTTGAGGAGAGCAACGCCAGCGATGGCTGGAAGCTTCGGAGAACAGCTCCAGAGAGAGCTGGGAGCCCAGACCAGGTGAGGCTGACGCTGGGATGGGCAAGGAGACCGCGGCAGGCACGGGGGCGTCGCGCACTAACGCAAGGTGTGGGGGGGTCCTCCCTACGGGAGCCTTTGGGGGGAAGCTCCTTGGTCCCCCTCCCAGGTAGGCTGGGGAGCGAGGTGCCCATGGGGAATCCTGGAGGGGAGCAGAGACGAAGGAGACGGTTTCCGTGACCTGGGAAGCAACCCCGGTTTGTCCTTTCAACAGGAAGCGCCCGAGCAATACCGCGGTAATCGTCGAAAAGGCGGGAGGCGCCGGTGAAAGAGGCTCGAAAGAGGCCCCAGCCTGGAAGGCACGTGCCGGGCAAGGGCCTGTGGCGACAGAGGCGAAGAGCGTTTGAAACTCGGCAACAAGAACGCGGACACCCGAGCTGCAAGACGGGCGAAGAGCTAAACAAACGCACGTCACCGCGGAAGACACGCAGGGGAGGCAGGCGCCGGGAGAGGCGCCTGTGTCCTGTGGGAGGTGCACGGTAAAACAACAGTGAGACAGACACCGCCACACGCCTATCGGAATGGCTAAAATCCAACCCAGTGATGCCACCGGCCCCGGGAGCCCGTGGAGCAGCAGGTGTCTCGCCCGCGGCGGCGGCACAGAGCGCGGACGGCGCCGCCGCTCGGGAGGACGGTTCGGTGGTTTGTTGCAAAACCGCGCGTGCGCTTTACTGTAGCATTCAGCCACCGCGCTCCCTGCTGTTCACCCAGAGGAGCCGAACGCTCGCGTCCACACGCAACCTGCACGTGAAGGCTCACCGCAGCTTTATTTGAAATTGCCAAAACTCGGGCGCCGCAAAGTTGTCCCTCCGTCGGCGCTGGGGGCAGAACCAGCGGTCCATCCGGGCAGCGGCATGTCATTCGGTGACAGAGAGAAAAGAGCTACCAGGTCACGAAAAGGCACGGAGGGAACTTAGACGCGTTTCACTGCCTGCAAGGAGCCGGGCTGAAGAGGCTCCGCGGTCTGAGTCCGGCTTTGTGACTCTGGGGCAGGTGAGACCCGGGAGACGGAGGAGCTCAGTCGTGGTGGGGAAAAGAGGGGTGAACGGGGGCGCCGAGGGGATTCCAGGGCAGTGACACCGCTCCGCCTGAGGCTGGGATGCTGGACAAGGGACATTGGGGATTTCCCCAAAGCCACAGGGGATACAACTCAAGGAGTGAAGTGGTCACGGGGCACTGGGGTTAACAACACTGGCTCGTCAGTTGTAACACGTGGGCCACAGTCGGGAAGATGTTAACGGCAGGAGACCCCGTGTGTGTGAGCGTGGGTTTGGGGACCTCTGTCGAAGCCAGCCACCTCTCTGTGTGGCTCATGCTGCTCTAGTGATGTCTCCTCGTGGGCGAAAGGAGTGCCGATCTCTTTCTGGGGGAAATGCTGAGTCATACTCTGCCAGCATTTAGTAACTCCTGTTTCTCCGGCTGCTCCGCGGTAGGAGGGTGAAAAGGCAGCTACAGAGGCACAAACATCTGTTGCGTATAGTTCACGAGCTACCAGTATATGAAATTTAAAAAAAACCCACAAACCGATAAAAAAATATGCAACCCGATAGAAAAAGAAAAAAGCAGATGCACGGTTGGCCAGAGGCTTCACAGGCAGAAGGGACGCACAGGTGCCTGGCACAGGTGCGCACGTGTGTGCGTCCTTGTCTGTCCTCAGGGGGCTGTGGATCGGACCTGTCACACTGTGCACACCCACCGGTGTGAATGCGCGGGGAACCAGGACCTGCCGAGCGTGCGGGGTGGGCCGGGGCAGGGGCGGCGGAACGGACGTGCGGCTGGCGGGCAGGCCAACGGGCAGGCGGGCGCTTTGGAGGGCCGGGGCCCTGTGCTGGAAGCTGGCCCCACGCTGTCCTTGGCCAGCAGCACGTCTGCGAGGGGGACGCACACCAGAAGGGCCCTGGTCACCCGTCTGGGTGCCAGGCAGCACGTGCACGCAGGGACGTTAACAACAGCCCCAGAAGGAAGCCTGGAGGAGCTTTGTCCCCAAGCCTGTGGAGAGACCAGTCGCCCGGGCAAGCTCACGCCGCGGCAGGCGACCCCGGCCTGCAGGGTGCACGTGCGCCATGGCGGGGCCTGCCCACCCCAGCTGGGGCCGCGGCCAGGCCGGGTCCTTCCTTCACCTCCGTCCGCGCAGTGACAGAGGGAGGCGGGATGGGGTCCTAGGTGGCAGGCGGTCTCTTCTGTGCCCAGGGCCCAGGAGGCGAGAAGGCCCCGCAGCAGCCCCCGGGACGATGCAGGACAGCGAAGCGTGCGGCCGCGCCCTCCTGCTCGGGCTCGGAGCCTGCGAGCCCTGGGGCCTGACGGGAGC